TTTCGATCGAATCTTAACTTGATAATCATTCTGGAACTCGTTCGTGCTCGATATCTATATAATCATACATTGATACATATCAACATCCAATTGATATATTCTAAATCTATCATTTCTTAGACCAAAAGAAAGGTATAATTCTATTTTCCCTTGAAGTGCATCGATACATTCTACAGTGTATCGATGCATTCTTTAACATGTGCATCGATGCACTACCCATGCATCGATACACAAATCACCTTCGATGTTTTTATTTTAAGGGGGTGCATCAATGCAATAACTGTGCATCGGTACACTCAAGGTATTCGATGTTTCTTCTTTAAAGAGTGCATCGGTACACATTGAATGTGCATCGATACACTTTGACCAGAATTTGTACTTTACGCCCGACAATCATTAACTCTTCATTCAATTCTTCTATTTTATGCCCCTATCATGTCATTAAACTCAACTACCATTACTTAAACCAACTTGTATTCATATAAACCATCTCTATCTTCCATATCTCATCGTGATTCTTAAAATTAAGAATCTTACTAAACTTTCAACTTTGTTATTAATCCTTTTTAACTTCATAAATCTCTTATTCTTAGTGATGACAAGTCAAATTCCTTCTCAAATTTCACTTATTAACTCTTTCCCAGAAATTCATCTAAAAACTCATTTTCTTTATTCCCTTCTATATATTTCATCTTGTTGTTTTAGAACAAATTAAGCTCTCCTTAAGCTTAATTATCATCTAATGATCGTAACTCAACCTTAAAATCAACAATTAATCAACAAACAAAGAAACTTACCTTTGAGCTTGGAGATATGGGAGGAGGAAGAAGAAGAAAGAAAACTCTGGAGAATTATCTCCTTTCCCACGTGGTTCCCTTATCTTATAAAAGGAATATAAAATATTCCTTATCAAATGACCATTTTGCCTTTTAATTCCTTTAATAATTACTAACAACTTATAGGAAATATTTCCAGATAAATCATTAAACTATTCAATTATTCTACTTTAATCACCAAATTCCAAAATATTTCAATTTGGTCACTAACCCAGTATTGAGGATCTTCCAAATTGTCCCTATAGCTAATGCAACAACTCTTGCTCCATTTCTCACTCGTAGGTCCACGTCTCCTTTAGCCAGATTCATTCTCTTTTGTAGTCCCTGTACAGAAGTACAAATATGAGAACCACAACCGATATCTAATACCCAAGAAGTAGATGTTGACAAATTAACATCAATAACATAAATACCTGAAACAAACGTTATGTTTGCTTTTTCCTTCTTGACCTCTTCAAGGTAAACAGGGTAGTTTATCTTCCTGTGTCCGGTCTTATCGCAATGGAAACATTTTCCTTCTTTGCTAACTCCCCCTTTGGGTTTCAATGCATTTTTCCCTTTTGGTTTGGTCTTACCATTACCCTTAGACTTTGCCACTACCTTTTTCTTTCCCTTTCCTTTGTCCTTGTGGACCATCAGAATGGGCTTAGGTCCAACATTTTTCATGTTACTTTCAGCAGTTCGTAACATGCCAAGTAACTGTGGCAAAGTCTTGTTAATTTCATTCATGTTGAAATTAAGGACAAATTGACTAAAGCTATCTGGCAACGATTGCAGGATAACATCGGTAGCCAATTCATCTTTGAGAGGAAATCCCAACTTTTCCAACGTTTGGATGTAGCCCATCATCTTGATGACATGAGCTCCTATAGGAGTTCCCTCTGCCATTTTACATTGAAATAGAGCTTTAGCGGCCTCATATCTCTCTTGACATGCTTGCCCTTCATATATTTATTTGAGATTTTGAATAATCTCATATGCAACCATGTCCTCATGCTGCTTCTGAAGCTCAGGACTCATGGTGGCAAGCATTAGACATCCAACATCTAACATATCATCCATATGTTTCTTGAATTTGTCTTTGTCAGTTTTTGAAGCATTAGTTGTCGATTCATCAGGAACAGGTTCCTCAATGACATATTCATTCCTTTCCTGTTTGAGAACAATTCTCAAATTACGAAACCAGTCAAGGAAGTTTATGCTATTAAGTTTATCCTTCTCAAGGAGTGATCACAGTGTTGTTTGCCATTAAATCCACAACAATGGAAATATTAAAATAAGTAAATTTACCGAATTAAAATTTATAAATAGGACTTTATTTACAAATTGCTCCCACTATTTTATTCAAAATTAAAAACCCTCTTTGTTTTAATTTAAAAAAAATCAACGAAAATTTTTCTAGTGGGTGAGGATCCATAATACATCAATTTCCTAAATCAGCTTTGGCTTTTCTTTTAGGATAGTGATTATTTAGGTAAGTAACACTTGACTAGTTACATCTCATGTAACTCCTCATTTTGGTGAACAACTTTTGTTCAAGTCATCTCATGACTTATCCAAATATTTAACCTCTAGGTTTCTAATCCTATTAGAATAACCTAACTAAGTTATTACCAATATTTCAACTGGTGAATATCACTTGCTTATTCTTCACGTTTAACCAAGATATATTTATGTGCCAATGCTTTGGCAAAGGCCACACAATATCGATCAAAGCCTTAACGAGGGTAAATATTGGACGGTTAAGTTAACTTAGATTATTAAGAGGGATTTGCGTAATTATCTCATCATTTATCGTTTTAATATTAGGCCCTTATTGATCTCATCAATATTTATTCTTATTTTATCATTTGATGCATTGCATACATAACAAATATAGTAATAAATAAGATGCAATGATTATAGCCCAAAACAATGACTAAGGTGGCCCATCCCAAGCCAATGGGAGAACCAAGAACCCTAAAGCCTAAGACTGCTCTCTAGGCATCTTCTCGCCATTCTTCTGCTCCTTGTAAATCTTCATAGGTTTACAATTTTAAAAGAAACTCGATTTACATACGAGGGAGTAAGAAGAGAAGAGAAATACAACATAGATAAAGAAAGGCACGACTCGCAGACCGTATTTCACATTAAACCATTATAAAGTGAATAAGGGCTATAATCATGCATGTCAAACACCGTGCAAAACAAACATATCATATATATATACACGTTCTTACTCCTTTGTTAAAAAAATTATATGGGCCTTCAATTTGTACTGCTGATAAGGGGTCAAGGGGCGAACGGTCGGTGGGATTTTTTTTTTTTTGAAAAACAATTCTTCTGTTTCCATGAAAAAACTTCACGATTTGATAACAATTATCAACAAAATCGTGCTTTTGGGATTTTCAATCCCAAAGGTTTTCTGCATCGGAACAACCATTGTTCCACTTCCAAACGCGATCTGCTATCGCACTCCCACAGATCATCCAACAACAAATCGATTGAAAAACATATTAACATATTAATCGTTGCGGTTATCGATTCGAGCAATGATATCAACATATTTACCGAAATCGATAAAACTAGAACATGCATCTCATACATATCGCATCAACAAAAAATTTAACCCAAATTCAGATCGTACAAGTGGCTCTAATACCATTGTTGGGACTGTCGGCGCATCCCATGGCGCAGCGGAAATAAAACTTGACGGTCTCACTAGCGATCCAAGTACGAAAAACTAAAATCGGGAGGAAGAGATACAAATACTTACAGCGGGTTCCTTGAAAAATAACAGGGATAACAGTGAATACTGGTGGTATAGATCGGTTCGAATCATAAGCCTCCACGAAATCACATCTCGGCCTCTACTCAGTTCACCCGATTGAGAGCAATTTTGTTTTCCCCCAAAACCGTTTTGAGAGAAAATGGCTGAAGGTTTTTGTGTGTGTTCTCCAAAAACGACTGCTAGGCCTAACACACCCTTTTATAGCCAAGTTACCCTAATCATATTAGGGTTTTTATTATTTTAAATTAATTAAATCTATATTTAATTAATTAGAATTTAATAATCCTTTTATATCCAAGTTACCCTAATCATATTAGGGATTTTATTATTTCAAATTAATTAAATCTATATTTAATTAATTGAAATTAAATATTCGGGATTATTAAAACATATACTTAATTAACTATAGATATATTTTAGTATCGTACAACAAATTGTACATCTTTTCTCGTTTTAATCCTAGGGTGTGACACTGTAGGTTCTTGTAACGTTAGCAGTAATTATTAGAACAATTCTAATATTACATATAATGAGTGACATCTAGCAATATATCATTTTCACCTAAGTTACAAGAAAATATGATTCGACATATCATCTTGGTGATTAACTCTTGTATGTATTACATCCTTATGTCCTTTATATCTAGAATATGCACAAGTCTTGGAATAGTCACACTTGTATAGCCCATCTATTGTTTCTTGATATCTAGAGTAGACTTTAATTAACGAATAGTTTATGATATCTCATATCAACTTATTCGAGCAATGCCATGCGTTTCTAGTCTTACTCAATCAAGTGGCCTGTGATATATTTCCTATTATGTAGGAAGGACAAATCCTATCTTAATCATACACACCCACTATATATATTGAGATATATTCAATAACAATCTTTATAGAGCAACCAGTTACGGAGCTTGTTTAGCTACATCAAAACATACACCAATATATGTTGAGATAGTATTGATCTCAAGTCTGAAGATCATACATATAGTCATCACCATGAGCAATGTTATGACTGTCACATAATAATCTAAGACATATGCTCATGGTGGGTCAATCCAATATATTGTTCTCTAACAATATAATCATGTATCAATTCTGACATCTCTATGTCAATGACAACTCGTTGTCATCAATCAATAATATGTTAGTCTTAAGCGTATTATTATTGTCCATGCCCATAATAATACTTGACTAGAGATCTTTTAATAATAACAAATATGTCATTATATGGACTTTATTATCTTCCAGTTTATGTTAAACACATATATATAACTGAAAATAATAGCGGCAATGCCTTTATTCAATAAAATCGATAAATAAAAGTATTAATATAATCATCATATGATTGGTTTTTGAGCATACTCTAACATTCCACTCCTGTGACTTCAGTTGTGACTTCAGTTTTGTTAGAAGAAACAGTAACAAGGCAGCACATGCAATGGCGACTGAAGGTCTTACCAGTTCCATAGATCGTTTCTGGGTAGAGAAAGCGCCGAATATAGTTCTCCGATTTGCAGCTGAAGACCGGCGTCTACTTGATCCTCCCTGATCCTGCTCGACACTGTTCTTCAAAGGGAATACACTAATCGCACTTAATGGTGAACCCCTGTTTTAACCTCCAATCCATGGTCTGCAAATCCTTACTCTCTTTCATATTGGAGTGGGCATCAACTGTTGCTCTCCTTTAAGAGTTTCGTTTCTTTTTTTATACGTTATTTCAGTTTGTAAGTTTTCTGAGTTCATTTTCTTCATTCAACTTTTGTTTTTGCTTTGTAACTGTTGGCTCCACGTCATCTTGGAAAGCCATGTTTTTTTCTTTAATAATAACAGTCGATGCTTTAAAAAAAAAAGAACTTTCATTGTTTCAAATAGATTTAAATGTAGCATTGCCTTTAAAAGCTTTGTATTGAGTTATCCCTAAATTATTTATTAGGACATTTATCCCTTAAAGTTTAGTTATCTCATCGCAAACCGTTAACTCTATTAAAAAATAAGGATAAATTACATATTTAATTATTCAACTATCCTTTCAGTTCTATTTTGATAATTCAACTATTTTTTTAAAAAACCATCACTAAACTAACATTTTTATTCCATTTTAGTCTCCAAATTCCATTTGATTTATTTTCCGATTCTATCATGCTTGTTCAGCAGTAGTTGTTTAACTAAATTATGTTGCATGCTTTATGATTTTTTAAAAGTGATTATTTAGGTGGCTCTGCTGGAGTGGACGGATGATTTAGAGGTGTTCATATTATAACTCTCAGCAGTAGCATTTATCAACCAAATTCTCTAGAGTTGCCGACAAATCAGTACTATAGTATCAGCAATTGAGTGGCCTTCATTCTTCAGAGTAGGGGAGCTAACAACTATGCATCCATTTCCCGACAAGCATTCAGATGCAAGACCCTGATTTCTTGGAGTCTACATGCTTGAACGCAACAATGATCTGCCTGCTTTAGGACCAACATGATCAGGAGAAAACACCACTTGATCATTTAAATTACGCTCAACAGGAACAGCTGCAAGACCATGAACCTGTCAAAAGTAAAAGTGAAAAATAACTGTAACAAAAACAAGAGTTAAGACCAAGATTTCCAACAGAATACTGCAAAAGGAAACATTATGTATATGTAAATATGAAGTTAACTCACAATTTTATACGAAGCATCAATTTCAGTTTTGTCCTTTGTATAAATGGATGATGTAGCAGTAGATGTTTTTGCAGCAGCTTTCAGCATAGCATCAGAACTATTGTCCCGTGACAGTGAATCCCACAACCGAAATGGACTGATGCATGTCACAACTAGACGGTATAATGTCACAGCTGAAAAATGGAATATCCAAACTTGGAAATCCAGGAGGCTCATAACATAGACCTCCAACTACTGTTATAATATATTGCAAATTTAAAAAATAAATAGAATTAGATTAGGTGATGAAAACAGAATAAAAAATTAAGTTTAGTGATGATTCTGAAAAAAAAATAGTTCGGTGACAAAAAGGAAACCGCATAAATAGTTGAGTGACTAAATATATAATTTACCCTTGCTTATTTAAACATAGTTAACGATTTGAGACAAACGAGGTAACGGTTTAAACTTTAGGGAGCAACTCAATACAAAACACATAGGTTAGGGTGGCAATGGTGCATTTAAGCCATAAAAAAACTATATCGTCATTATGTATTAATAAAATAAGCCACATCATTAAGGGTGTTTACTTCTAGATTTCAACCAAATTAACTTATCGAACCGAATTAGTTCAGTTAAACGGTCCACCACTAAATTAGTTCGATAGGAGAACAATTAATTTTTTAATATTTAGTTAACAATTAATTCAGTTCAAAATCGGTTAAATAACTAAAAATATTAAATATTTAACATATTATATATATTAAATGTATATTTTAAGTTCAAACTCATTAATAATTATACTCATTATTAAAATTTAAACAAATAAAAAATAGCTTTATTAAACTCAATTTAATTTTTAACTATAAAAAATTACTAAAAAAATGATTAATTCGGTTCATTTAATGATTTAAAAAATCAATTCGATTAAAGATTCAATTAATTCAATCTTGGAGAATTTGGTTCAATCGATGGCCGAATTGACCGTTTGAACATCCCTGCACATCACCGGGCTGTTATTAAGAAAACGAATGGGTGATTAAAAGAATTCAATGGGTCAAGTTCAGTTATTAAAAAGAAAATGTTTAAATTTAAGTGATCAAAATAAGAGTTAGAAGAAAGATGAGTGATGAATTAAGTAGTTTATCCAGTACTTTATCGTGTGTCAGTGTCACTACAATGATAATGAAAATGAGTTAAAGATTTAGTGATCAAAATGAAAGCATCTTACAAATTTAGGGATCATTTATGCAGTTTGTCCTAAAAGTAACTCAAAAGAAAGGACTTAAAGCGAAAAACGATAATAGTTTGTTCACCAATAGATGAATTGTCCCCAAAAGAAAAGATACGAAAATAACATACATGAAGCTACCATAGAATTAGCTTCCAAACTCGAATCACATGTCGCCCAAGTCGAGAGTTCTTTTTGTACTCCAATTTCTCCGATTCTTTATAACCCGTAAAACTCTCGTCTCTATCCACAGCTTCCTCTTTCCGATTTTCGGACCCATCGGAAAAATCATCGGAATTAACATGCCCAATCAATCCGATGACCAAAACTCAAATCCCCCACCACCACCCTTTGATCGAGCTAAACCCTCCAAACCCATCAGCACCCTTGAAGAACTTGACTCTGCTTCTTACATCACTTCTTTTCACTACCCTTTCGATAAATCCACCGTTCCTCTCCGGCTGCCTGATTCAGCTTTGCCTCCAAGGCACAGGCTTTTGGTTTGCCATGACATGCAAGGTGGTTACGTGGACGATAACTGGGTCCAGGGTGGCAATAATTCCGGCGCTTATGCCATCTGGCACTGGTATTTGTTCGATGTTTTTGTTTATTTTTCTCATAAATTGGCCACCTTGCCTCCTCCTTGTTGGACCAATACTGCTCATAGGCATGGGGTTAAGGTTTGTTCCCTCATTCTTTAGTATGAAAAGCTTCTATTTTTCTGATTGAAAAGTGTTTAATTTGGCTTATTTCAAGTTGAAAATGTTGGGTTCAACTGACGCAACGGATAAAGTCAGTGGATTTTTTAATTTATGGTTTTTCTTTATATGCTGATTTCAAGTTCTTTTTAAGAAAAATCATTTTCTTATGTAATTTTTGCTTTAAATTGCATATGATTGTGAACTACCAAGTTAGCAACAAGGCAACAATCACTATACATTTCAGTAATTTAAGAAATAACAATCTTTACTCGTTACCAAGTTAATAATGGTCTTTGTTTCTTTTCTAGCGTAGATGATACATTATGGTAACCTTTGTGTGTTGAACGTCTGTTTAATTTGCTTTGGATTATGGTGTGTTTTAGATACTAAAGGGAGCTTTATATATGTTTTTTTTTTTGCCTGTGGCTGCGAAATCTATGGTATTGGGGGCATTCATCACAGAATGGGATGAAGGGAAAGCAATTTGCAAGGAACTGCTTTCGACAAAGGAGTCTACTCACAAGTATACTGAACGCTTGGCAGAGCTTGCTGTTGCTTTAGGCTTTGATGGATGGCTGGTTTATGTTACACATTTATCAAGCTCATCACATACACACACACAATGTTACAGAAAAACATGCTAAGTTTTAAGGACAAGGAAAGACTAAGTTAAGAGAATGTTTTACCCTATTTTGGAGGAAGACTAGCACTTAGATACTGTCAATAAATGTTGTTCTTTCTGTCAGTATAATGGCGGAATTTTCATATATTGGCAGTCCCGTTCCAACAATTAACCAAGGAAAGCTTCCTTGCAGCTTAATATGAAGGTTCAAATGGATGTTGGACAAATCCCTAATCTGAAAGAATTTGTTAGCCATTTAACTCAGACTATGCATTCCTCACTTCCTGGATCAGTTGTAATTCATCGACTTTCTTAATCCAAGCTACAGTTCAAGTTTGGCTAGTTATTATTGTTAGTTTCTTGTGCCAGTTGTCCTTCAGTTTGACCGATTGAAACCCTAACAAATTTTCCATGATAGACAAATGTTGCACTTGATGTGATAAAGAAGGACGATGTCTCAGCTGCGCTATTTGCTCCTGGATGGATCTATGAAACAAAACAACCCCCTGATTTTCAGACTTCTCAAAATCGGTATTGCACTTTTTTCTTTAGGCTGATTAATTGTTATAGAATGCTTATTCATTAATTAAGATGTCTACTCTTCTGTTTCAATGATGCTTTAGTAGTATACATTTTAACGTCGAACTCCAATTTTTAAGGATTTATATTATTTATCCGAGTTACTGACTTGTACACAGTTTGACATATACATATATGTTGGTGTTTGTATTTATTTGTAATTTGTGATGGTGATTTGATCATATTATGCCAGAATTTGTACATATCTTTTCTCATTTAAGCCTTTTCAAAGAGCTTCACCGCAAATCCTTTGCTTTTGCAGTTGGTGGGATCTAGTTGAGAAATCATGGGGAATTGCACAAAATTATCCTAAAGTATTACCAATCTACTCAAATTTTGATCAGGTTGCAATCGTTTCAAATATTTTGTTCTTCTCTTATGTGTGTTTCAAAATGAGCGAGCAGAGCATGTCAAACTTACTGGAAAATAGTTACTCGTTACCTAGCCAGATTCCTCAGGCATATATGTATATGTTTTCTACATATCGACTCTCTTATAATTTCACAGGGCCGTGGTAATCATATTTCCTTCAATGGAAGACAAGTATTAAGCACTCAATGGAATAACATTTCTTCACAAACCTTTCAGGTGGCGACTTCATGGACATATCTTGTTTCTTTCACTTGTCACTCACTGTTTGATGTTACTCTTAATTTGTATATTTATAGAAAAAATGTAAATGCTTGTACATTCATGTTTCAGCATTTCCTCGAGTATGTTGACAATTTTACCTCAAACACTATTGATGTCCGTGTTGACTAAGTTTGTACGAGTCTTTGCACTTGACATGATTCATCCATATGTAAAATATTTAGAGGTCTAAGAACTGGTTGATAAAATGACAGCTTCAACGAAGCATCTTTCAGCGGAGGAGGAAACCTCACATTTAAAGGAACCCTTGAGGCCAATGCATATGTCTCAACCAGACTCATTTTAGGAGAGCTTGTTATGGTTGGCTTACCTGTTAATTTCACGTATTCTGTAAGCTATTTTGATTCTCGATTAAGTGTTTCTGTTACAACTGAATTCACAGAATATAATATTTGTAACCAATAACAATATAATCTTTTATGCCACCAATTCCTGCAGGTAAAATCAGGAGGTAACTCTCAAGTGGGTCTTTCCCTTGAATTCTCTTCTGAATTGCTTATTGCCTCCCATGGATTGAATCAATTCTCTAGCAAATTCGATGAAGTGATTGTGGCACGTTAACTTACGAAATCAGACATGGCACCAGGCTGGGTTATGCAAGAGAGCTGCATTTCATTGGATGGATACACTAACAGAAATTGCTGCCGTATGCTACAGGCAACAACCGGAAAATACTGAACCTAGATAAAAAAACAACCAGGATCAAGCAACATACTTCGCCGTTCTTGGACACATTAGAATTTCAGCTTCGGTACAAAACACGGTATTTCCTCCATCAACTGCCTGGATCGTCGAGGGTCAGGATCTCAAATGGGGAGGTTCCGAAGGTTCAAAAACTGTTAGTCTTAAAACCAGCTGGAACCGAAAGACGGAAAGAATACCCTTTTTCCAAGATACAATATCTATGTGGAGAAACTAACAAAACAAGCAGTGAGGCCCCTAGAAAGAAAGCTAGGAAATCTTGCTCTAGCTCCGTCTGATGCACTGAATGGTGAATCTATGAATTCTGAAACTGCCAATCACGAACAGAAGGTGCGGGGGAGTACATTGGAACAGCACAAGTTGAAGCCTTTTATGTATCCAACCTGATCATCCCTTCTGCCTCTTCAAGCCTCAAATTCATTATCCAACCATGCGATTCTAGTGGTGCTAGACAGGATGTTGATGATGCCCCATTTTATAACACAATGTTGAAGGTCAATGAACATCTTCACTTCTGCTCCTCAGCATTAGTCTTGATTTAGAAAAAGAAGAGAAAAAAATGGCTCACTTTGAGAATATATGAGCCTTCACTATCCAATTATTATTTTCATGTATCATAATGTGTTTAGAACCTTAATATTTAGATAAATTTGACATGTTAACCTGGTTATATGCACATTTACATACCATGTCATACAAAATTTATTTTTGTTTATCACGTAAGTGTACAGGTTTCCATACAAAACACAGGAATTAGTATCCAACTCAAAGATCTCGAGCTTATCAAAACCACACAAAAAGTAGAAAATCTTACCAAATATTCCATCTTCTTTGTCCTCGCCTTTGCCATGATACAACTGGAAAGATGTACTCCATAGACTGTCAAGCAAATGGTCCCCAAAACACCATATAATGTCTCCAAAGACCAGATCAACCACGAGCCTGCCACGCTCCCACCATCCACCTCCTCATCTTCATCGTCCACGTGCCATTCATCAAATGGATCCTCCCCCATCTCTAACCGCCTTTAATATCCGTTCCCCCTCCTCTCTTCACCACACAAAACCCCTTCAGTTCTTCAGTTTCCTAAAGTTTCTCCATCTCTCTCAGCTCTGCCATCCGTTACCCTTTTCAAGAAAAGCTTCATCTTTCTTGTTTCTTTTCAGCCATGTTGAAAGCTGCTCCAGCTTTTTCCTTGTTGAACCCTCAAGTGGAACATCAGGGCCTTCCCCTGTTTTCCTCTGTTCATTCATCTCAATCCTCTCTTTCTCCTTCCAATTCATTTCTCCGAATTTCTTCTCCAACCAATGGGGCTGAGACTGTTATTGTCTGTGCAACCAAAGGAGCCAATAACAAGCCGCTAACCGGTGTTGTTTTTGAGCCTTTTGAGGAAGTGAAGAAAGAGCTCGATCTTGTCCCAACTCTGCCTCAAGCTTCTTTGGCTCGTCAAAAGTACACTGGTGATTGTGAAGCTGCTATCAACGAGCAAATCAAGTGGGTTTTTCTTTTCTTTTAGATCCTAAGTCACCTATATATTTAAAAAAGTTTATTTTTCACATTTTCTGATGCATATATTCTAAGGTCATTCAAAAAGGCGGTTCTTTTTGTTTGAGGGGGAAATTAGATTCTTTTTTTTCTTATGGAAACTAGGAATTAGTATCAAGATTCTTTATTTCATGTGTGTACTTTTAATATAGTACTCTTTGTAAAAATGGCCTTGACTTAGGCTTTATATTGATAAGCTGCTGGTTTGGCTGTTGTTTGTGCCTATGTTCTAATGGATTTTTTTTTTAATTTTATGGTGCGATGACAGTGTCAAATACAATGTCTCCTACGTGTACCATGCCATGTTTGCATACTTCGACAGGGACAACGTTGCGCTCAAGGGTCTTGCCAAGTAATTTTTCTCCAGAATTCTTGATTTCACTGAATATGTTTTTTTTCTTTTTCTTCCTGTGGCTAATTTTAGACTTTCTATTGAATAGGTTCTTCAAGGAATCCAGTTTAGAAGAGAGAGAGCATGCAGAGAAATTAATGGAATATCAGGTTTTATCTAATCTATCAATTGCTTATTGCTGTTTTCCTTGTTGCAGTCTCATAAAATTTCGTTCGTCTCTCTGATTGTTTTTCTGATATGCATTTGTTTACCATATATCAGAACAAAAGAGGTGGAAAAGTGAAGCTGCAATCCATATTGATGCCCCTCACGGAGTTTGATCATGCTGAGAAAGGAGACGCATTGTATGGTGAGTTTGCTCCCATTCTTTGTATCTTTTGGAATTCAGTATGGAATACAATACATTAGAGAACTTTATGATAATGCATACACAAAGGTCGCACACAAGTTCAAGTAACATAGACTTGTTGTTAACTGAATGATAATGCGAAATTGTGCTTTGGACGTTGACATTTTATATGTGCGCAAGACTGATTGTTTTGAATTCTTTGGTTCAGCTATGGAGCTTGCCTTGTCCCTGGAGAAGCTAACAAATGAAAAGCTCTTGAACTTGCACAGGGTGAGACTTCACTATCTTTCTGTTTGCATTTTCGATACCTTAGTAAGGTGTAAAGGTCTCACACTATTCGATTTGAATTATAAAATTGATGGATGGAAGAAGTGTGTTGTACTCTTACAAGTTAAAACTAATATTGGAGCCTTTGGCTAATAGGTAGCTGAGCAGAGCAATGATGTGCAGCTGACTGATTTCATTGAAGGCGAGTTCCTATCTGAACAGGTATAATACTATTTTGCTGCATTTGGCTTTCTAGCAGAAAGCAGTTTCTCACATTATTACTGTTTCTTTAGGTGGAGGCCATAAAGAAAATATCAGAGTATGTAGCTCAGTTGAGAAGAGTTGGCAAAGGGCATGGTATGAATTTACAGTACACTTGTGTTGCTTTTGTAACAAGTATGGTACAAGTATTTGATATTAACGTGTTTGGTTGGTGGATATTCAGGGGTCTGGCACTTTGATCAAATGCTTCTTCACGAGGAGGAGGCAGCTGTTGCATAAGGTTAGATTTTGGTTGTAAGATGTAAAACCCTTGTGTTGATGATTAGAGATGATAAACCAAAATTCCAAGTGTTGTTAATGGAT